AAAGAACCTATATCCCGAAAATGAAAGTTATATATGCCAACAATAAGTTGCTAGAGCACTTTAAAGGCTCAAAATTGACCCCAAAATAAGGCAATGTTTACCGTTGTTTTTACGACAGAAACCGAATTGGTTATTTACAAAAATGAATCTGTCGACAGGTTTGGAATTTTATCTTTGAAACGCCACACTTTTCTTTGAAATCCCTTTATTAGTTCTCGTGCAATATGCGTTTTTGTGAAGCTCTAAAAATTACAACTACAACATTTGAACATAGCCCCCATACCTTAAGGTAAGACGTATTCTACGTCAAAAAAAATTGAGAGTTGCCACCTGTTTGAAAATTGCTGTTTAAGTAAATTGATAAGATAATGAAAATATTGAAATATGGGGTCAAAAGAAAGAGATTTAAGAAGGCTTACAGTCGAAAATAGCTTTGTTTAAGGCTGCCACCTGTTTGAAAATTTAATTTAATTTAGCTGATGAGATAAATTAAATACATTGAATTATGGCTACCAAACTGAAGGGGCTTAGAAAAGTTTACTGCAGAAAATATTTTTAAAGAGGGTTGCACTCTGTTTGAAAAATTATCTCAGTTTACAGACAAAAATTTACATCAGTTGATGGTTTCAATAATTTTAATATCACATGTTTCTACTTTTTCCAGAAGAAATACAGTACTAAATTATAAGGAAAGTTTTTGAAAACAAAAATAGAAAATTTCGAACAATTTTTTTTTTTCATCACTTTGACCAAATTTTTACCCACCATTTTTCAGAGGGATATTTTCATTGCGGTCATTATTTTCAAAATGCGGTCAAATATTTTCAGTTGGAATTCATTTTTCTGGCATACGAGCTACATACACTCGGTTACTTAAATCGTTATACATTTTTTTGGATTTTTTTACACCGTGTTTTTGTAAATAGCTAAAATTGAGAAAATAAATATTTAGTTAACAACTACTTCAGAGAATTATTTTCCCACCACATCACGTCAGCTGGCAGATAGATAAGAAAAAATGATACTTAGACAAACAAAATATTAATTTTCAGCTCCTTAAACACTACTTTTCACACTGGCTAAATAAGAAAGAACTTCTTCTATGCCCTAAAAGAGCCATATTTCATATTTTACTTTTTTCTAACTCAGTAAATAAATAGGTACGTACGTAAGTTTCCACTAAGATATTCGCTGCCTTATGCATTAGGCATGCATTCACATTGCTTTGTGGGTAATAAAAACAAAAAACGCTCCTGCTGATAAGGAAGGTCGCTGCCTGACGTGTGCAGTCAATGCTTATCCGAAATTATCAGCCTCTCTCATCAATAAAGCAAATAAATATACTGTTCAACAGGTCGCCAGCCTATCTGTGACAAATGTCACTTGGTGGCGAGCCTAAGCAAATATGTGTTACTTGTAGTATATATCTCAAAGTATATTTCAAATTTATGACAGTCTGTGAGTTGACGTGACAGCGCTCATTAGAAATATTCATGAAGTGTTTAAAAACAATTTTCGGCAACAAAGGCGAATATCAGGTTAGTGTTTGGAAGAAAAAATTCCTAGTGAAATGTGAAAATAATGAAAGGTTGTTCGACAGCTTAGAAGACCCACAACTTGAGAAGTAAAATAAATTATCTACTTACATACATACATATACATAGTTCTCTATATTAACAAAAATTTTTAAGAAGATAAATTTTCTTTGGAGCTGCTGACATTTTAGCTCTTGCAAACCATGGTCAACTCTTATTTATTATTACTATATACATACATATGTACATATATTGCTGCTACTAAAGTAGTTAACTAAATTCCAATTAACTAATTAAACTTGTTTTTTTTTTCTCTTGCAGATCTACCCTGGCCCCGATCCCAAACAAGCCATCATGGGTTCACTCGTCTTCTGCATACACCATAAACAGGGTTGCAAATGGTCCGATGAGCTGAGAAAATTAAAGGTGCGTACGAAAACTAAAAAAAAAAATATAAAAAAAATAAGAAATAAAAAATAAACGTTTACACACGCGCAATTTTTACACATAATTTCTTGTTGTTTAAAAGCAAAAAATTAATTACATTCAAGTTGCTTCAACTAACAAGTTCATCATAGTGGTAGCAGCGGGCGAAATAGCCACACAGCAACTGAGATTTCATTCATTAAGCAAACTATTTTCATTAGTTGGCTTTTTAAGAGCGTTCTTAGAAAAATATTAGAATGTCTGTTAAATTTTATTACGCTTCTAATGTTGTCTTAAACAGTTTGTGGCCATTTTGATGTTTTTTGTTGTTACATTTTTGAATTCATTCATAAGAAGCAATAAATGGAAATTCTAGCGAATTAACAAGTCAAGTTTTAAATAGGTAGTGAATGAAACTTAGGTTAAAAGGGGTGATGTAGAGAAAAAAAAAATTTGGTAAAATGTTTTGTGGAGTTGATCTTTGTGTAGAGCGACCTTTTTAACTTGGAAAGTGATATTAAAAAAGTTAGAAGATTGGTGCATGTTTAGAAATCACAGCCGCGACTTGCGACAAGTTGTAAAAACTTGCGTTAAGTTAGAGTTAATTTTAAAAAACCTGGACTTCTTACTGGAAGAAATGGATCTTAACGTAGATGGCAGAGTTGTGGCAGGTGTATTTTGCTAGAAACTCTTAGTACATCTCATATTCAGGCTGCCAGATTGCGGAGAATGCTTACCTCTCTTTCAATGCCTCAGAGTATTTCCAAATCAAGACGATTTGGGTGTGCCAGGACACAGTGGCATCACTGAAAAGTGCAGGGCTGATAAGTTGGCTAGGCCGGGTACCCTCGACGCCCCCCGCACAGGCAAGACATAGGAGTTCTTTTGGCAACCTGCGCACTACTCCTGGGCTGATGGGTTTAGAGTCGGCTCAGCATGCGCTGGGCAAAACCCCCGACATGCCAACTTGCAAGATCTTTCTGGTCGCATGCGGTCAAGGGGCTATCTGCCGCTGCTTAAGCGTCAGCTCTCGATTCTTACGTGTGTACTGAGCGGACACTGCCCACTAGGAACCCACGCACTCTTACTGCCGCCGCTACTTGGAGGACGATGTGCAATCATCTCATGAATTCCTTCACAGTTGCTCGGCATTTGCTGGACCAAACCTGAGGAACCCTCCGGAGTGGACATCAGCTGCCTGTGCAGCTCTGTTTTGAACCTATCAGAGCTTCTACTGACATACACCGATAACCTGTATTTACCGTTCGAGGAGTTCTACAATGTGGTAACATATCGGACAAGTTAATCAATGTCCAAGCGAGGGGTGATAATTGTCTTGATAAAAGTCAGTGCCAAGACTGGCTAAGAAAATCGAATACTGGTAATTTTGACACCAAAAATGCTGCTCCGACAGAAAAGCGCACCGAGGTTGATGAAGAAAGAATAAAGGCTTTTATCCTGTCAAACCGTTGATACATGTTGCAAGAGAAACATTGAAAATCAGTATAGAAAGTTTTCACTGCCATCTGAAAACGCAGCAAGCTGGATATTTGGATTGGTGATTGGACGGCACGTATAGATACAGGTATCTTCAAAATGCTGCTGAAAGGTGAATAAAGTGATCGTTTTTTAGACCTAACGGCAACTAGTTAAGAAAAGGTGATTCTTTAAAACAATATGGGTATTCTCAAAGTCTTGCAAAGCCCAGGTTTTTACCAATTCGTGCAACGTGCAAGGGCTTTGCAAGACTTCGCGAATGCCCCTAATGTGGAACGCAATCTCTCTTGGTCGCAACGTGATGATTCGTAAAAACTTCTTCAAACGAAGTTTATACTTTCAGTGTGATTTTATTGGAAGGATATGGGGTTTTCTGAGCTTCTACCAATAAACAGAACCATCAGTTCCAATGAATATTTTCGGCGACTGGATAGTTTGAATGAACGAACTCCCGTGACCACAGACATCTGCCCAGAATGCTAGCCTAGCCTTTCATCATCAGACTTCCATTTGTTCTACTTGTTTCGCTCTCTTCAAGGGTCCTTGCGAAATGTTATTCCAGCTTAAGAAGGAACGGTGAATCAGATCTTGTTCCTTTTTCGCTAATAAAGACAAATACTTGTATGGAGTTCATATATCATTGATTGTTCTTTGGTTTAAAAAACATGAGCCGCAACTTCTCGGTTCGCTTAGGTTCATCCCTTCCAGTTTAACGAAACTTTTGTATGTGAGAGCAACAACAAAGTTAACTGGTAGCGATGAATGTTGGCAAGTTTGGTTTTACCTCATTACTTTCGTTAATTTCGCACTCGCCATGTGTTGGCGAATGAAAGTGGCGGATATAGATAACATACACAATGACCTCCTACTCGACATAGGAGCTTTTCAGTTAAAATAATTACATGCTTAGTAAGGGTTACTAGTTTTTGTTTATTAAGGCTACCTTTATCAATTTACTAAATTCTATTTCACTGCATTTCTACATGACTAACAACAAATTTTCCTCATCTCTCCCTCCTTTCAGGGCCACTTGAACGTTTGCAAGCACGACGCCACTCAGTGTCCGAATAAGTGTGGCGCACAAATTCCTCGCATCATGATGACCGATCACCTACAGTTCACCTGCAATATGCGACGCACAAAATGCGAGTTCTGTCAAAGTGAATTCTCTGGCGCTGGCCTCGAAGAGCATGCCGGCACTTGCGGCCAAGAGCCCGTCTATTGCGAGGCCAAGTGTGGTCAGCGTGTGCTGCGCGGTCGTATGACGCTACACAAGTCAAAGGATTGTGCCAAACGCTTGCGTCGTTGCATACACTGCACACGCGAATTCTCCTCCGACACACTACCGCTGCATGCAGCCCAGTGCCCGCGTGCGCCTATGACATGTCCACAACGCTGTGATGCAGGTCCTATTGCACGCGGCGACATGGAGGGGCACTTGCGTGATGAATGTAAGGCACTAGCGATTGCATGCAGTTTCAAGGAGGCCGGCTGTCGCTTCAAGGGACCACGTCACATGCTCGAAGCTCATTTGGAAGCAAATGCAGCGTCACATTTGTCACTCATGGTGGCGCTCTCTTCACGCCAAGGACAACAAATACAAATGCTGAAGACCGCTGTTTCGAAGCTTTCGATCAACTACACCGGCACGTTGCTGTGGAAGATTACCGATTGGTCGGCCAAAATGACAGAGGCGCGCAGCAAAGATGGACTTGAATTGGTTTCGCCGCCATTTTATACCTCGCAATATGGTTACAAGTTACAGGCTTCAATGTTTCTCAATGGCAACGGACCGGGCGAGAACACGCACGTATCGGTGTATATCAAAGTGCTGCCGGGCGAATATGATGCGCTACTGAAATGGCCATTCTCGCACTCGATCACATTCACACTCTTCGAACAAGGTGCGCAGAGCGGACAGGGCGGTGTGGCTGAATCGTTTGTGCCCGATCCGACATGGGAGAACTTCCAGCGGCCCTCGAATGAACCGGATCAGTTGGGTTTCGGCTTTCCACGCTTCATTTCGCATGAAATGCTGCACAGGCGACCTTTCATCAAAGAGGATACAGTATTTTTGCGCGTTAAAGTGGATCCCAGCAAAATTGTGGCGGTCTAAGGGTTAGACGCTTTACGGTGCGGTTCTAAGTGCGTGTGTGAGTGTGTGCATGTGTGTGCTGGTGCCAAGCGCAAATTAACGTTTGGTGTAAATCATTTTTTTTTTTATAGACATTCAAACAAATACTGTGTATTTAAAGTAGCAACTAGCAAAGTAAGTGAGTGTAAAAGACAAGAAAAATGTATAGTCTCATGTCGACGAAGAATACAGATACGAAACAGATATGTATGTATGTACGTAGAACAAAAAAATCGGTAGCTTCGCGAGCGTAGACTTAGCAGCTACATTGCGCGCAAGCATAGAGAGCAGTCTGACTAAGTGACGAAAGCTTGAAAGAGAAAGGAAAAATCTTACGGTATGTTGAAGATTTTAATTTCGTTAAGTGGACCAATGCAAGTCAATTTTATATAGGCATATACATATACATACATATAATTTAAAAAACATATTTAAGTGGATTTACTAATTATGTAATTTTAAATTTACTGCAAATACAAACGCAGTTTTCAAAAGCAACGAAATCAGACCAAAGTTAATGCAACGAAAAAAGCAGCAAGAAAAATTAATATAGATTAGCAATGTAAGCAGATGACTCCGCATGGAAAATGGAATTTGACACACACAAAAGTTCGTGTCGTAAGTCTTTTGTTATAAATTTAAAAAAAAAATGCAATTTCCATGAATGAAATTAATGCAGCTCGTCAAAAATGAAATACTTTCGAAAGATCTTCATCGGTTTAAATAAATATTTTTTTTTTTTTTAGTTTTAAGTACGCAAGAATGCGTGGAAATTTATTTTTAAAATTTTACTGTTTGGTTTTTATCTCTAAAAGTTGCGGTCATTGAAGTACCCCCCGTGTAAATAGCTCGATAATTTCATACCATTTGGAAGTCAATATATGTATATTACGAACATCTGAATAAATCAAAATTTCGTTTTTTACTACATAAAGTTTCAAAATTGACACAATGGCAAATATGTATTTAGATTTTCTCAAACAGCATTAGTCATTAGCTTTTAAGTTCAGTAGTGTCTGAGTAGCTCATAAGATCGCTTATGTATATGAAAACATTAAGTGCATATGAATATCTTTCATTTCTATTACAAACTAATCATTAATAATGGAAGAAATTTTAATCACATATCTTGGAAAATACTATGAAAAAATATCATATGAAAATTAAACGCTCTTTAAGGCCAAAAACGTAAATAAAAAATTGTGTGTTTTATTTAAAAGCTAGCTGATGGATTTTATTCGTCTAAAGTGATTAGAGGTGCGTACTAGTAGTCTGTAGGACCTGGATTGCATCTATTTAAGGTTAGGTAAGCTATTGCAATCCTCTTGGCAAACTGTAACAAATTAGACACATAGCCTCCTTGGCTCCTATTTCATTCAAGTATACTCCCACAGATCTTATATTTGGTCAGATCCAGTTTAAGAGGCGCGCGATTACAGCAGTCAATGCTCCGTTTGAACACCCTAAGAAGCCTATCGTCCCACAGCGTGGAAATTGAACTTTTTCGTAACGAATTCTAATATCTCGAAAATGAGAACAGCTAGCGAAAAAAATTCAATAGCGTTTTAAGGCTTTTGAGATGGAGAATTCAAGAAAAATAGTTTCCTTGGATAACAAACTTTAAGTGATAAAAAAAATTTCGCCTTGAAGGTCATTTAAAAAGTCAAGGAAATTTTTTATCGAATCAAACTATTTTTCCCCAATTCTCCATCTCAAAAGCCTTGAAACGCTATTGATTTTTTTTCGCTAGCTGTTCTCGTTCTCGAGATATTAAAATTTGTCACAAAAAAAGTTCAAGTTACACACTGTGCGTCCTCCCTCTTGCGATATAGAAGAAACATCGTAATCCTGATCACTTGACAAATGTGTGTTTTGGTTCACATTTTCGACGTCTTCTGGGTCATGGAGAGCAGTGGAATTCTGACAAACGCTACTCTAAATTTTCGCTCCAAAATTCTCTAAATAAAAAGCAATGGGACGCTCGACCAAACACTTGGCAAAATTGTAACCGCCAAAATAGCTTAGTTATAATGTTGAAAATATATCCCTTTCTTATCAACTTAAATCATATTTTTTAAAGACTTTCCCTCATCTCTTATCAAGTTTGATTGGCGATAAACCGGTTTTAGCATTATGCAATCATGAGTTTAATTTTTGTTTAGAATATTTGTATCCAAACCAAAACTCAGAACGAAAAAAAAAATCTGATAGGCTTGTTTTTAAACCAAATGTGGCAATAGAGGACGGATACTTATTCAAAAATACATTTTCTCAACCTGACGGAAAAATCAACCAGTGCTATATTACAGATTTATATTTCGTTCCTTTTTTTCACATATTTCCATACACATTAAATAATGCTAAAGTTCTCTTTAAACAACTCCGAGCTATATCCACCTACAGCTACAAAGGCGAATTCATATAGTGGCAGCACAAAAACAAAAATTGCACTAACAAATTATACGCACAATGACAATCAGAACACGAGCAAATGTACAACAAACACATCATTTTGACAAATCAGTAAAATCCTTCTTGAAATTAGCTGCTCTGGTATCAACACCTTATATGAATTCGCCTTTAGAAGGAAAATAATCATTTGCACTTACAGGCAGCTTGTCAGTTTCTTGACTCCGTTTACGTTGAACTTATATTTTTGAGATTTGTTTTTAATTCTTAGGAACAAGAATAATAGTTTTTTTATATTTAAATATTTTCGTATTTTTTTACTTTTATTTTCATTGCGTAAATGCTATATTTACACTAAAGGATCCAAAACAGCTATAAGAACACAAGTAATATTAGAAATGTTCTGTGCGAAAAAATATAAGCAGAGGCCCAAAATAATTATTATCCTAATATTTGAGATCAAAAACGTCGCTTTGTTTTAAGAGAATTTTTTTCGTCTTTGTATAACAATTATTTACGAGAAATATATTTTGATGATTATTTTCAAATTAAAATTATTTACGTCTTTTCATAATAATTATACGGGATTTTTATTTTTCTCGTCTCTCGGGACGTTTATTTCAACACGAATATTATTTACGTCTTCTCATAATAATTATGTGGGACTTTTATTTTTTCTCGTCTCGTGGGACGTTTATTTTAAGACGGAAATGATTTACGTATTTTCGTAATAATTATATGCGACTTTTATTTTTATCGTATCTCGTGTCGTTTATATCAAGACGACATGTACAATGATGTACGTCCCACGTTTTCTCTTAATAGAATCGGTACATGTACTGCCGATTTCACGAAATCAAACGCAAATATCTGCGAGTTCGATTATTGGAATTTGATTTGCTAACATCTGGCAACCTCTTTAAATAAACTAAAACCACGTAAAAGCAAAGCCCTTTAAATTGACACCACATTTTTGAAAATCGAACGAACGATACAGAGTTTGATTTAAATATTTAACGCGACAAATCTCCGAACTCAATTAAAAAGTTTCATTCATAAAAGTCCCATATAATTATTTGGAGAAGGCGTAACTCATTTCCATCATGAAATAAACGTCCCGAGAGACGAAAAAAAATAAAAATCCCATATGATTATTATGAGAAGACGTATCTAAATATTATGAGATGGCGAAAATAATTTACACTTCAAAATAATCGTCCCGCGAGACGAAAACAACATTTCCATTGTTCAGTAATAATTATAGAGTAATATTTAATTTTATTTCTTATAATCGTTATGGTCTCTGAATATACATAAGTCCCAAATAATGATAATTTTTGACAAATAAAATATTTTTAGTAGAAATCTTCAAAATAAAGATCCCCATATCAGAGAAAAACCAAATAACGACTATTTCCTACCCCTTTTCAAATCCTATATAATGCAAATATATGTATGAACATATGTAATTTAATATACTTACATCAAATTCTACATGGATAGTTTCCTAATTAAATTTCACTTTTGTGTCACCCTGCTCCTGCGGTCACTTGAATTGTATGCGCGTCCTCGCACAAAACACAAATAAAACACAAAGCTTTTATTCACAGAAATTATTCACTAATTAACAACATTCACACTTTCTATTAAATTATATTCGTTAAATTAAAACATTTCTGACCTATTTATTAACTTTTTCGAACCAGCAAAGCGATTTCACACACAAAGCCGAGTGGGCAAGAACAACTCTTGGCTATTCGCTCCATTACCTCTCAATACACTAAATTTTCACTTGTTTTATTTAGCCACTGCTAACCTTAACACTTCAAAAACACACTTTATCACTTTACACTATTTTAAATTTAATAAATCGCGACAATTTTGAGGAAACATTGCAGCCAAACGAATTTTCACATCCAGTTGAAAAAAGGCGCGAAAACTGTGAAGTCATCTGATTGGAACGAATGGAACGAATGGAACAAAAGGAACGGCAGAGCAGACAACGCAAGGAAGTAGAGAAAGGAAATTGTAGTAAAATTTAAAATGTAAGGCTGCGAAAAGCTGTTGGGAAACGAAACAAATAGCGACAAAAAAGATTTCAATGCAAATACAGCACATTTTATAGAGAACTTATTTAAAAAATATTAGCAAAATGGTTCTGTATTAATATACAGTAGTACATAAGAATGCCCATATGTATGTAAGTACATATGTGATTACATATCAGTCCTTTTCGGCATGATAAAAACATAGCAAGGTACAACCGTTCTCTCAATTTGGNTTGAAATTGTTCGAAATTGTTGTTGCTTGAGATTGAAAATGAAAATGTGTGTGTGAGTTTGTGAGTAAATTTAAAAATTAAATTGTTTGGAAACGTCAAGAATTTTAAAAGTGACTCTCAGCGGTTCTACCTTACTATATTTTTATCATGCTTTTCGGCATGATACAATAATTTTTAGAAGGTAGTTTCACTTCTTCTTCTTATCCGCCATGTACCAACTTTTTCAAAAAAAAAATCCAGCTTTTGACGTTGGAAAAATAAAACAAAGAAAAGCCAAACATATAAGTAGAGAAATTTTCGAATATTTTGTAATAATTTTCTTCATAAAAAATTAAATTAATAAAAATTGTTAATATTAATAAACTTTAAATAAACAATTGGCTATTTTCTCTTAGTCGCTCATCCTTCTACAAACAAACAGTTGTCACCTGGGTGGAAGACCGACCTATTTCGGTCGCCATTTCGAAAACGCCCTACTTCAGAATTTGATTGAAGAGTGTCCTACTTCAGAATTTTGTTGAAAAATCCCGTATCTCAGAATTTGGTTGAAGAACGCCCTATTNATTATTATGAGAAGACGTATCTAAATATTATGAGATGGCGAAAATAATTTACATTTCAAAATAATAGTCCCGCGAGACGAAAACAACTTTTCCATTGTTCAATAATAATTATAGAGCAATATTTAATTTTATTTCTTATAATCGTTATGGTCTCTGAATATAAGTCCGAAATAAAGATAATTTTTGACAAATTAAATATTTTTAGTAGAAATCTTCCAAATAAAGATCTTTATAACAGAGAAAAACCAAATAACGACTATTTCCCACCCCTTTTCAAATCCTATATAATGCAAATATATGTATGAACATATGTAATTTAATATACTTACACCAAATTCTACATGGATAGTTTCCTAATTAAATTTCACTTTTGTGTCACCCTGCTCCTGCGGTCACTTGATTTGTATGCGCGTCCTCGCACAAAACACAAATAAAACACAAAGCTTTTATTCACAGAAATTATTCACTAATTAACAACATTCACACTTTCTATTAAATTATATTCGTTAAATTAAAACATTTCTGACCTATATATTAACTTTTTCGAACCAGCAAATCAGCAACCAGGATTTCACACACAAAGCCGAGTGGGCCAGAACTTTTGGCTATTTGCTCCATTACCTCTCAATACACTAAATTTTCACTTGTTTTATTTAACCACTGCTAACCTTAACACTTCAAAAACACACTTTATCACTTTACACTATTTTAAATTTAATAAATCGCAACAATTTTGAGGAAACATTGCAGCCAAACGAATTTTCACATCCAGTTGAAAAAAGGCGCGAAAACTGTGAAGTCATCTGATTGGAACGAACGGAACGAATGGAACAAAAGGAACGACAGAGCAGACAACGCAAGGAAGTAGAGAAAGGAAATTGTAGTAAAATTTAAAATGAAAGGCTGCGAAAAGCTGTTGGGAAACGAAACAAATAGCGACAAAAAAGATTTCAATGCAAATACAGCACATTTTATAGAGAACTTATTTAAAAAATATTAGCAAAATGGTTCTGTATTAATATACAGTAGTACATAAGAATGCCGATATGTATGTAAGTACATACATACGTATGTGATCACATATCAGTCCTTTTCGGTACGAATCAGTGTGTCGAACACTAGTCTTTTCAGACCGTCTGAAAGCGATTTTTCATAGGTGAGAGAAAAAATAGATAAATCTCCTACCAACACAACTATATAATGTATATGTACCCTAGGGTGGCCCTTATTTCAAAAAAAAGAGCTCGGATTCTCGGTCTCACTGCCCAGAAATGTGTGAATAGCCTTAAGACTAAACTATACAAAGTATAGGTCAATCAAAAAAGATTTAGAGGTGGCTCAAAGCGCTCAAAGTTTCCCCATGTATTTTATATGGCGAAAAAACAGTTTTTGTTTGGTTATTTAAAATTTGTCTAATATTAACGATTTGTTATGGGCTCCCATTGCATTTTTTAATGGTTTTGGGGGAACCATAAAAATTGTTAATATTAATAAACTTTAAATAAACAATTGGCTCTTTTCTCTTAGTCGCTAATCCTTCTACAAACAAACAGTTGTCACATGGGTGGAAGACTGACCTATTTCGGTCGCCATTTCGAAAACGCCCTACTTCAGAATTTGATTGAAGAGTGTCCTGTTTCAGAATTTTGTTGAAAACCCCGTATCTCAGAATTTGGTTGAAGAACGCTCTATCTCAGAATTCGTATCAAAAACGTCTTACGCTGAGATTGGACGTTTTCGAATCGGCAGCTGAGATACGGCGTTATTCAACTAAATTCTGAGATAGGGTGTTTAAAAAAAAATTTAAATAGTCCTTCAATCAAATTCTGAAGTAGGGCGTTCTTGAAAAGTTTTCTGCGATAGGCTGTTTTCGATCAAACAAATTCTGAACTAGGGAGTTCGTTCTTCGGTCAAATTCTAAGTAAGGCGTTTGTGAAAAGTTTTCTGAGATAGGGCGTTTTCGAACTGGCTGCCGAGATAGGTCGATCTTCCACTCAGGTATCGATACTGGCTTTTTTGAGTTATGGCACTATTGAAGTAAATTGACAATTACAATACAATTTATTTTGGGTTATATACTTTGTCAATGAAATTATTCTTCTGAATCCCCCTATTACCGTGGTCACCTAAATGCAGGTGTATGCGTTTGTTTGTTTGCGCATCATCGAACAAAACGCACGAATAAGACATAAAAACTGCTTTTATTTGCAGAAAGTACACCCTAATATACACCATTTTTGTTTTATATTAAATTATATTCAACAAATTACCGCATTTTTTGGGCAGCCATCTAATTTCTTCAGAGCAGAAGCTCTTTCAAATGCCTATCGCACTATTTCCTTGATCTATACATTTCACTTATATTTTTTGCTAACCGAATAGCTTTAACGCTTGCATGAACATTTGATCACTTTTTAGTATTTTAAACTTAATAAAGCGAGACAATTTTGCGGAAACACTATAGCTGTTACGAATTTGCAAATCCAACTAGAAGCGGCGTGCGAACTGTTGACTTATCTGCACGGAATGAATGGAATAAATGAAACGGGTGCAGTTATTGAAAGGAAGTGGAGAGAGGAAATGAATAAATGTCATTCGTCCGTTATTAAAGTCGGTGTTGGAGTACAATGCTTTTCAAATTTTAATTAAAAACACAAAAATCTCGTTTAATCATATTTATTAACGTATGGATGTAAATTGTGTGTTTGAGTAATCTGCCAAAAATTAGCGGCAACACCTAATTATTCCGACGCAAAGCATTCAAATCAGTAATCTGTTACATTCATTATTGCATAGCATATCGCGCAGTCCATTAAACAACGTTGATTATATTAAAATAATGTCAAAATACTTTGCAAAAAAAGTTTTTGCAATTAAAATCATGCATCATTCCAGAATTCCAGAAATGAGCTCATTTTTCCTATACACTAATTTACTTTGGAATGCGTACCGCAGCACTCACACCTGCACCCACTTCAGCTACACCAGCTGTGTCGGAGTTTGCGACAGCAGCACCACTTACTGGCGGTTTAATACCCATCAGTTCGCATAGCTGATTACGTATGGGACGCACTGCAATCAGAGGCAAACCCCAATCTGTCTCGGACAATAGATTCAAAATCTCATCCATATTCTCTTCTGGAATGTCGCAAGCGTCACCGTGCAATGCAAGCGCTTCATAAAATTTGGTGGCACTTGTTTTGCGCACATGAACATGAGTGAGCCCGAGGAATATTGCCATTTTGGATAGTATGCGTTTGCAAAGATATGGCACCTGGACCAACTGACAATAGACACTTATGCTCGATATTAACTTGTACAGTTTTTTGTGTCCTTTGGTTTCGAGATTCAGCAATCGATAGATGTCTTCTCCAAAGGTGTTTTCTTCATCTAATAATACCACGTTTATAGAGCCTATTAATGAATATGAGTGTATCAATTAAAATCTGCAATTATCTAAGCATGAAGTTAGTACACACCTGAGCTAATTAATATCTCCAAAAAATTCAACATCGGGTACGTAACTCGCTCATTCATGACATTATCTTGGAAATTGGCGACTACCTCCTTACATAAACGTGGTACTTCTGCTGGATGTGTGCGTAGGAATTCAAATAATGCTGCCGAGGAATGTTTTATCTGAAAGAAATATGAAGTATAAAATAAATGCAAACCCACCCTACACTCAAAAACAGGAAACTTTGCCTGCCGAATCCTTATTTTCTGTGTTACCTAAATAACTTACCAAACTTTCAGTCAACTGTCCAATGCTTGCGCTCAACCCGAGCAACAATCTCTGCGAATAGTCGGGCAATTCGAGCAAGGAACAGAACAGCGGGAATGTCTGGTCGGCGAATAGCCACAATACACTATTGAAATCCGCAGGGAATACCTCTAGTAAACGCGCATGATGGCGAATATGTGGTATATGTGGCGTGGTGGTTATTATCTGGCAAAACAGACGCCCGGCCAGGCCACGTGTGCGATCTATTTTCTCAACAGCCTGTTGCATGAAGCCAAGTATAATTTTGTGAACCTGCTCGGGCTGTAGTAATTCCTTTGGGCAAGTCGTGATTAATTGGAAGAGCGCTAAACACATATTTTTAATTTATTATTCATTATAAGTCAATTACATTAATTTTACTTCAGTCTTCATACCATTCATTGCCGCCTCGCGCACCCAAGCGCCAATGTCACCACGGTTATCTAATGTATATTCATCCAAGGACTGCAGAAAGCAATCCACAACTTTGTTAAAGTACTTTGGATTGCCAAAGGAGACTAAAGAAAGAAATTAAATTTATTACTCAGTCTCAATAAGAGTAACATTTTTTGAAAATTTCCAAACTACAGTTACCTTACTCTATATGTACATACAATATCTGCTAAACAGCTCACCTTCAGTATTTTTATCGAAGCCCAATGTGTGGACGACATGGCTGAGAGCCTTGACACTATCACGTCTTGACTCACTCCACGTACCCGTTACAAGATTCTCATGTTGATTCAACATCTCACCAGTTGTAATAACCGCTTGTGTTGGTGTGAGCGAATGTTTTATCAGACTCTCAAGTATATCGTCTAAATGTGGAGCTATCATAAAATCAGGCAATGCGCCCAAAGCGCTTATATAACCCATTCGTATGTATTCTTCTAAGTGATTGTTGGCACCTTTTAGATAGCCATGAATAATTTCAGCATTAGTAGCAGCATGCTCATCGCCTTTATAGTAGGATCTACAAAGCTCCGCAAAGGCATCAGTTGCGCCCTCGCGTATTGCCAAAGCTTTATTTAGCAAACATTTGTCCACAATATACTGCCAGCATTCTGGAATTTGTCGAAGACATTATATAAAGACTTTCTGCATATTTGTTTAATATTCAATTAACTCACCCAGGCACATTTTTGATGTTTCTATGCGTGCCATACTGCAATTCTTAATGAAATCTGTGCAACAGTGCTTCATTATTTCACCACTCATTCCGCGAAACGAGTCACGCAGCACATAGGTTGGCAACAATTCATTGAGCTCGGACAACAATTGATTCGTGAGCAATTTTTTGCTTGCGATCCCCTCTTCTTTTTGCTCAATCTCGCTCAACGCCAACGTTATTTCACCAATGGCCATAACAGTCCCATGTCGCATATTGATGTCAATAGATTCTGTCTTTCCAAAAAGTTGGCCTAGCACTACAGCAGACATGTATTCAGGCGCACGAAATGTCAGATTATGCAAAGCCTTCGCTGCCAATTCTCGTATTGTAGTGTCCCAGTGATTTACTTTTTTCTCAACCAAATGATCGATTAAGGGTTTTTGGTACTCCTCAAATTGTGCGATGAAATCCGAGACTTTCAAGTAAGAATTTTGTCGCATACCTACTGAAAAGAAATCGGTAGCTGTGCAAATTTCTATTCCATGTGGAAAATTTCCAAGTCGACCGACACTTTCTTGGAAGGCAGCAGCTGCGGCACGTCGACAATTTATTTCACGATCAAAAACAGCCACCGTCAGCAGTCCCGAAGATATTTGTTCGACAAATGGTTGAAAATCCGCCGGATTGTAAGCGCGTGCAAATGCCCAGCACATATAACAAGCGGAATCACGAATATGCTGTCCAACTGACATATAGCCCTTCATTTCGTCATAGAATAGGGCTTGCATCAACAGGGGCACCAACGTGCGCAAACGGTGTGGTAAAAGTAGTCCTCGCTTTGCCAACTCAGCCAACGCTAAACAAGCACCATGCCAAGCCTCATGTGGTTCTAATGGGTTCAGTATGTCTATGACCGAGCCAATTACTTCATCTGCAAGCTCTTTGGATAGACGATTGGTGACGCGTCCTACGCCTTTAGCAGCGCTCCAGCGTATATCACTGCCCCCGCTACGCAATGCTTGCAGTAATTCTTCAATAACTTCCTCGATGGCATCAGGCACAACTATTTCTTCTCCATCGCCGCCTTCACCCTCAGGATCTTGATCATTTCCGCTTGCTCTTTCATCCGTAGCTGCGCTATTAGTTTTATTCAAGTTCATTGCCAGCGAACGTGTTCCTAATAATTGATACAATTTTGTGTCTCAATATGTATGTAAATTCTAACAAAATTTGTTTATATATGTATGTCTCACCCCGCTTATACCGCCAACCTGCCAATCTTGGTTTTAAATATACCAACCCAATGCGTTGCACAATCTTTATGTAGCTCTTATATTTGAGAAAGTCATTGCTATCCTTATACTGTAGGCCAACTACCCACTTCAGCAGCTTGTCCACATAAGGTATCAAATCTTCACGTTTTCCGTGTTTTAAAATTGCTGAGATTGCAGCTAATTCGCCGAATTTAGCATCAGAAGTTTCTAACTGATGCTGGCTTATCACCCAATCCAAATAACGCTCTAAGTAGACCTCTTTAATGTCGGCTCGCACTAAATATTTCGCTGCCAAATATGCAGCAATATCACTACATGTATCACTCGTGGATGTGTACAATCTACAGAGGTCAAAAATGCGTTCCATTTTGGATTTGTTCTGCGTTGGATTCATCAATTTTGCAGAGTCAACACAGTTATTAGCTGGGGCTGACTCATTGCTGGTTATGGTGTATGCATCCAAACGCGACATGTGGAATGGATTCAATACCAATATTGACATCCATAGCAATAACATATAGCGCGTTTCCCAATGATTGCATTCCTTAGGATTTTGTCGCTCGAGCATTTCCAAGGCGAATTCCAAGTCACTCAATTCGTGCGGTAAAAATTTCACCAGCACTTTATAAGTGCGCACTTTACTAATAATGTACATATACTTGAATGCGGAATGAATTAAACCTTCCGGCAAAACCTTATTGCGTACTATTGCCAACAGTCGCTGCAATAACACATCCAATTGAGGATCCAGCAAATGTGGCTGCTCCTGGTATCTACAGTCGTTATAACGTGTAACATCTTTCTACCTTAGTTTACTATTTAGAATTGCTATAATATTCACCTTGACAATAATTCCGTATACTGCTGGTAATCCCTTTCGAAGCCTGGCGCATCACAGGCCTTCATTGTATCGATCATACCCAGTATTTGCTCCAATTCCGTGAACTGTTCCAGCGTATTCGAGGGACCTTCTTCGTCCTTCAGTTCCTCGCATTGTAGCATATTTAGACAGTTTTTTATTTAACTATTTTACTGAAAATTTTTAGATTTTTCTATTTTTTTAAACAGCCGGTTGCTGAGTGCGATGCCAGTACTTTTTCGATCTTCCTGAAATAAATTACTTGATTTGTTGTTGCTTTGCTGCTGTTGCTGTTTTTTTCGTTTTGTTGACAACTTCGCATTCCAAATTGTTCCGTAGCTAGATGACACATCGCATAAACCAACCAACCACACAATTTGCCATGGAAACGGAATGGAAATGGAATGTAACATAGAAGAGCATGACGAACGACACAAGTTCGCGTAAACGTCGCGTTCTTACGTGAACTTGTATTTTTGATTGATGTGTGTTTATATACTTGAGTTATATATTTTGAATTAGATCTTTCGATTGGTGTTATCAGTTTTTAGATATCCCCTATAGTCTCCGAGATATTGACTACAATTTTTTCGATAATTTAGTAAAAATTTAGTTAGTCGTGCAGTCATATTAAACTAATCAATATCTTAAAAATGGCGTTCTCCATTTTTGGAGATCTTTAGCTTCCGAGATATTGAGGAAAAAGTGTCGTTGATTTAGTAGAAATTTTGATCACATTTTGTCGTATTTCATACAAATTTGCTGCCAAATTGTGGACAAATGACGCTTACGACAAAATGTTACTTAAGAATCCTTCATAAACTGAAAACTAATTAACAATAAACACTTATACTTAGGAGAAAATCTACATTCGCGTTTATGAGAAATTGCATTCCAAACTNGTCATATTAAACTAATCAATATCTTAAAAATGGCGTTCTCCATTTTTGGAGATCTTTAGCTTCCGAGATATTGAGGAAAAAGTGTCGTTGATTTAGTAGAAATTTTGATCACATTTTGTCGTATTTCATACAAATTTGCTGCCAAATTGTGGACAAATGACGCTTACGACAAAATGTTACTTAAGAATCCTTCATAAACTGAAAACTAATTAACAATAAACACTTATACTTAGGAGAAAATCTACCTTCGCGTTTATGAGAAATTGCATTCCAAACTTCGCGATTTCCCACAACCTGCCGAAATTAATATACGACAATCTTTTACCCAGGCGACGTTTTGTTGACTTCGTATTCCAAATTGTTCCGTAGCTAGATAACCATGAACGAAAGAGACAAGATCACGCCTTAAGGAAAGAAAGAAAAAAGTTATTTTCTAGCTGTTGAAATCTCGACGCCATCTTTGTTGTAAGAAGTAAACAACGAAGAGAACAAAATAAAACGCGTAATTGTTGAACGCATGAATAATCATTTTTATTATGCAAATTCTCCTATAAATCATGTCGTTGTGTTAAATTATTCTTTACCTTATGTGTGCACACGTTGTCACAAGCGAAAATTAAGAAAATTGCAGTAAAAAGCCACCACCAAATTGTAAACAACGAACAAATGTAAACAAACGGCTTATGTCAAAATCGCCCTACTTTTTTCATAAGTGCGATTATAACGGGCCACTCTTCTGCTGTCGTGATCTTGTCTTTTTGGTTCATGCTAGATAACACTTCGCATATGCCACCCAACCACAAAATTTGCCATGGATCTGAATGGAATGGAATTTCAGATAGAAGTTTATCAATATCTATGCTTCTTTATTTTATGCAGTTTTTTCCAAATTTTATGCACATTGTTTTTTTTTATTGAAAAGTTAAATTAATTTTTTTTGTGCAAACGAAAACTCAAAATTATTAAATAGCAAATTTTTTAGTGAAATTATTTAATTTTCGATCACCCTGCATTTGTTAAATCATAAACTTGCCACTGTGTTCAATTTCAGTTTACTATGCAGCTACTTGATTATTGCTCGTTACAGCAGGAGTTGTGGACGAAAAGTGCAAAAGCTGTCATTTCTTGTGTTATTTTTACAAATTCAGTCAAACTTCAATTTATTAATATTAAATAAATTATTAAAATTATTTTGTGAGTACTTGCAAGTGTCGGGATAGGAAATGGAAGCAGCGCCTACCGCTGAACTCGTTTATCAGGGTATCTGTACCCTCTTTCACAATAGTAATCCCAAAGAGAAGGAGAAGGCCAACAAATGGCTGGAAGATTTCCAGAAGTCGGTGAGTTATCAATTGGGTTGAAAAAGGAAACGTTGCGCGGTTTTTCTTTCCATAGATGAAACAAATATTTATTTTATCAACAGATATATTCATGGACAATCGCGGACGAGCTTCTACAACAGAAACGCGATTTGCACTCGTGTTATTTTGCAGCACAGACGATGCGAAATAAAATTCAAAATTCTTTCAATGAGCTACCACCTGCATCACACGAATCACTGCGAGATTCTTTGATTGTTCACATAGGGCAAATCACAAATGAAACCGATGCAGTAATTGTGACTCAACTGAGTCTCGCTGTTGCTGACTTGGCATTGTTGATGGCTGCTTGGAAGCAACCAATTATTGATCTGTTGGAACTGTTGTCACCACAACCACATGCCGTTTGGCCTTTGCTGGAGATACTGACATTAATACCAGAAGAAATAGATTCGCGGTATCTGCGGTTGGGCTCCAATCGGCGCGAAGAGATACACAAGCAATTAGATGCTGCTGCACCCAAAGTACTTGAATTTCTATGTGTCTGCTTGCAACGGCACGATTGCCCCCAAGAGCGCCTACTTAGTTGTAGTCTGCGCTGTTTCAGCGCATGGGTGGCAGTACAGGCAATACCCATACACCATTTCACCGAGAACCCGGTGGGTCAACAAGTTTTCCAGCTGCTCAGCAGCGGAGATACAACTCGAAAACTGCATGACACATCTACCGAGTGCTTGTGCGCATTGCTCAGCTGCATTGAGGCCAATACTAGTCGATATAGCTTAGACCCAGCTATGGAAGCAAAAATATTCAATGCAGTTTGTTCGCTGGAGACAGCTTACCATATTAGCGTGGCACACGAAGACATCGACAAAACTATGAACTTCTGTCGCATATTCACTGTTTTATGTGAAGCTTACTTCTATGAAATGCTTTCCCAGGAAGATGTACCACATTATTCCATAAAAGGATTGGATTTGGTGCTGATGTGCGTGGGCCACTTTGACTATGAGGTTGCAGAAATCACATTTAATTTGTGGTATCGTCTGAGTGAGGATCTCTTTCAACGTTATAATGACAAGTTAACTTCACATTTTAAGCCACATATTGAACGGCTTTTGGGTGCTCTCTACCGTCATGCGCAAATGGACGCAGATCACGACGGGTTAATCGAAGAAAATGATAGTTTTAATGTGAGTATTAAATGCAGTTCCAATAAACACTGCTGTTTTATGTAAGTCATATTTTTACAGGAATTTCGGCGAAAAGTGTCTGACTTAATTAAGGATGTGGCCTTTATAGTCGGCTCAGGCGCCTGTTTTAAACAAATGTTCCTTATACTGCAGGCACCAAACACTACATGGGAGTCAACAGAGTCTGCTTTGTTTATTATGCAAAATGTAGCCAAAAATATAATACCGTAAGTATATCCTTTCCACAAAGCAAATGCTCCCTACCTCATAAGTTTACATGTTTTCTTTTGCTTTGTAAGTGATGAAAATGAAGTTATCCCCAAAGTCGTGGAGGCCATACTTAATCTGCCCGATAATACACACATTGCTGTACGCTACACTTCGATTATGCTGTTGGGCGAACTGTGTGACTGGATCGAAAATCATACAGAATCACTGCAAGCTGTGCTAAATTTCCTGCTTTTTTCGCTACAGCAAAAAAATGGATTAGCTGCTGCCGCTGCGATAGCGCTCACCTCCATCTGTTCGGCTTGTCGACAGAAAATGGTTTGCCACATTAATGGTCTCGTAGAGATAGCGCGTAGTCTGGATAGTTTTGAAATTAACAACGAGCTGGCCATTGGCCTCTTGAAGGGCATTTCCCTTATACTATCTCGTCTCCATCGCACACAATTAGAGACAGCAATGCGTGAAATTATTTCCTTTCAATTACAACCGTTGGCACAATTGGTTGAAAACTCAGCTGTCACATTGGCGACCATGCAGAAGGGCGAACGCACTGATCCGGCTTACTGGATTGATCGCGCATGTGCTGTTATACGTCACACGAATCCTGATATTGGCGACGCTGAGCTGCATCCAACTTTACAAATACTCACAGATGCATGGCCATTATTATCACAAGTTATGGACAAATATCAAACAGATGTACGCGTAATGGAGCGTACTTGCAGACTCATACGCTACGGCGTGCGTATGGTGCGGAAACAGGCTTCACTCCTGGTTGAACCATTGGTGAAGCAAATGATTTGTATTTATACGTTACATCACCACAGCTGCTTTTTGTACCTCGGATCGGTGCTAGTCGACGAATTCGCAAAGGCTGGCGAATGCATACCAGGTAAATTGAAAGTGTAGATAAGTTATAATCACACCACAGCTCAGCATTCCAATAATCGAAAAACACTTTTCTCCTAATCCACACAGGCCTTTTGGAAATGTTAAAAGCTTTTATTGAACCCACCTTCAGCATGTTACAGGTGGAAAACGGTCTCAAGAATAATCCAGACACCGTGGATGACTTCTTTCGTTTATGTTCGCGCTTTATCGAGTGCTGTCCCGTTCCATTCCTGCAAAGCGCGCTCGTCACACCCATCTTCCAATGTGCCCTGCTAGCCTGCACGCTCGACCATCGGGAAGCCAACTCATCGGTGATGAAATTCTTCTGTAACCTATTAAAATGGGGTCGAAGTTCGAATCAACGTCATCCCGAATGTCGTCCTTTGGTGAAGGAAATCGCGCAACAAAACGGCGAAGCGCTCGTTATGAATCTGATACACGCGTCAGTTTTTTGTCTGCACTCTTACATGTTGTCCGATGTTGCGGACGTGGTTTACGAATTGAAATTGGTTGTGACAAATGAGCATGTGCAGGCTTATGTGAAGACCGCACTGGATGCTCTACCAAAGCGAAATAGTGGTGGTTATGTAACAGCAACGCAGCAACAATTGGACGATTTTACTGCCGCATTGTTGGGGTAAGTAATCAGAGCTACTATTGTAGAAAAGAAAAGTTAACTTGTTGAAGTTCAAGTGAATCAATTTAAACCGTTCATTTTTTTCTTTTTTGCAGCGCCGATACTCCCAAAACGATAACTGTTNAGAAAAGAAAAGTTAACTTGTTGAAGTTCAAGTGAATCAATTTAAACCGTATACACTGCTAAAATATAAATTTTTTCTAATTGCATATTTCATTTTTTTCTTTTTTTGCAGCGCCGATACTCCCAAAACGATAACTGTGGCGTTAAAGAATTTCACACGCTTGTACCGCTAATTTAGCAGCACAAACTACAATGCGCAATTTTGACTATATATTTTATATAGCATACTACGTACACAAATACATATATTTAATGTATTTAACAAAAATTGATAATTTGTTAAACATTTCAACGATTCCCCGCAGGAATTTTTACAAAGTCAACTTTTAACGACTGACCATAAATATGTAATATTTTATATTTAATTAGTATATTTAACTATCCATGGGTTTTGAAATAAACATGCATATGTATTTGTGCATGGCAATTTCCGCATTAAAAGTTGAACCATACATTAAAAACAAATGTAGTACATATACNTATTTAACTATCCATGGGTTTTGAAATAAACATGCATATGTATTTGTGCAAGGCAATTTCCGCATTAAAAGTTGAACCATACATTAAAAACAAATGTAGTACATATACTTTGCCCAGCAAAAACAAACCGGCATAGTAGGGTTGGATGATTAAATAAAAACAAATGTGAGTGTATGATTGTCGCGAGCAGGTTTAGCCAGTAATACGTAGTTTATTTTTAGTAGAATGAAAATCAAAAAAGAAACCATACCCACAGTTCAACGATTAAATTGATTAAATTAAAATGTAAACTTGAAAATCTATTGAAATTTTTAATGTTAAATAAACGTGACCAAAAGAAAGATTGATATCTTTGTTATTTTATTTCAGTTAATAATAATAATAATAGATTGGTGCTTACGTATATGTTAGTGTTTGGCCGAGCTTCTCCTCCGATTTGTGGCGTGCGCCTTGATGTTGTCACACAAATCGGAGGGACCTACAGTTTTACGCCGACTCCGAACGGCGATTGTATTTTTATGAGAAGCTGTGTTTCATGGCAGGAATACACTCGGAGGTTTGCCATTGCCTACCGAGGGGCGACCACTTTTATTTCAGCTACATATTTTAAAATTCGCAATGACGATATTGGTCGCTAAAACTCAAAAGAGCACATTTTATTTGTATATTTTTTTTTATTTATAAATGAAAATTATCTTCATGATCCCGCTTTGAAAAAAACTCATTACAACATTATTTTATGATAATAGTTCTGTTTTTCTAGGGCCAACTTATAACTTATCTGCAATGCTGCAGAATTCGTCAATCAAAAAAACTTTCAAGAACACATCAAAACAGAAAGTAAAATGGAATGTAATACTCACCACAAACATATAAGTGAAACAAACAAGAAAAATTTATATCTAAGCCGCACACCACATGCAATCATCACTACTCGGATTGACCGCATCACACGCGCCACCTGCTTACGGCAAACGCTTCTTCAGCAAGCTCTCTAGCTTGCGTATGCGCCCACGATCGCCACCACTATTTGAAGTGCCATCTGCATTTTTTTCTGCGCCACCAGTAAAGCTACCAACGCTAAAAATAAATGCACGTTTTGGCGTAGATGTTGCAGCAGCTGTATACGGCGCATCACCGCTGTCAGTCGTGTCCTTTGACGCCGCCGTAGTAGTATTCTGATCTTCATTCGACTGCAAGTCACCTTGCGCGGGTGCAGCTCCGCTTTCGACATTTGTTGCTGCTAACTCCGGCGAGTCACTGCCTACCACAGCCACATGAGAGGCAGTGTGTTTGAATAAGTCAATCAATTGCAATTGATCCACACGCTTTACGGCTTTCATATCTAAAATTTTCTGATACTCTGCAATTGTGATGTCTGGCAGAAGTTTAAGCACTTGCTGTGTAAAGTGTGCTGGCGGTTGCACCGGCGTCATTACTACTTTAATAATCATTTCGGCACGTGTCATATCTTTGACGACTACTTTAGTATAGCTAGTGGGTGCCTTGCGATTCACACTCGAACCAATTGAAGGTAAGTCGAGTAATGCCGTTTTTAGACTATGTGTATCGAGCAAAAGTTGCTCACAACCCAGAACATTGTTAGATCCATCGGAATGCGTCAACTTACATTTGTAGAGGACACTAATGAATTTCGGAATAAATGCATTGACAAATTTATGGCAGAATTGTGTAAAATATTTGCGTGATGTGGCTAAATTGTCCCGTATAACGGGCACAGTCTGCTTGAAATTCGCGCACATGCTGTTGATGAAGCCGCTTTGATCGCCGACATTGCTAATACTTTGCCACTGCACCTTGGACATGGACTGTAGTGATGGCTCACAGCCTGCTTCTAAATCTTGCACTAGTAATTGTATGCAGTTGGAGATGATGCTGGGAAGAGTGATTGAAATTAATTAATTACTTAAAGCAGTAAAAAACTCAAAAACTTACCGATGAAAGACATCCTTCTCTTCAGACATATCAATCTTGTTAACAAAGGCAGCAGATACTTTCTCCTTTAGTTTATCTTCTAACTGTTGTACAGTTTCCAAACAGTATTCGGCGGTGGTTAGGACACAACAAATTTGGATTAAATCTTCGCGCGGGAAACGTTGTGTATCACCTTCTTTCAAAAAGTTATGGAATACTTGGCCGGCTGCCGTGGAGAGATTCTGCATATCACGCGTAAGTAAAGACATGCTTTTGCCTGGGAAGAGAACATCGAAAATGGTAAGGAACATATATAAAAATGAATTGGCAATAAAAGAATGCGTCGAAAAATCTCACCAATTGAGGCAGTAGTCGTCATCAATTTCGGCGTGCTGAATTCTAAAACTTTGCTTGCGTATTCACGTAGATATTTTTTGAAGACCAGCGCTAACTCATACATAGGTTGTTCATTGCTAAGCTGATTACATTGCACCATGCACTTTTTGTAGAATACAAATAAGTCCGCTGAACTGTGGGAGAAAAAATTTAACAAAAAAAATCTATCGCACTACTGTCTATAATCATGCACCTTGGGTACACAGTGGTTCTCGATTCTGACACTTTTAATGGCTCTTTAGCCATCTCAACAAACTTTTCCATCAACTCTGACAAATTACGATCGATACTCTTAATGTAAATACCCAGATGTGCTTTGAAGCAACTGCCGATTTGATCGTGAAATAAGCCAATTGTCGGTGGCGCATTTGGATCGATAACACCACTTTCTGGTAGTAACTTAAGAGCTGACGGCGCCAGAAGCTTTTCAGCGCCCAAAGTTACGCCGGTGAAGCGTTTCGAAAGAAGTTGCTCGAAAGCTTGAGTTTTATTAATGGCAAAGAGAAGAAGGCGCACATCTATTTCATTGCTGCGTTTTGCCATGATATGAGAGAGTTGCTCGCGTGTGAGGCGACAGAATTCGACGGTAATGCGCTCAGATACTTCCCAATCAAGTGGAAACACTGCACCGAATTTATCCTCAAAGTCTAGTAGGTGTCGCTTCAACCATGCATAGCGCTTGTCGATTTTGTCCAACCAAGCGATATCTTGGTTTTCGTGAAAGAGTTGCACATATTCCTCTAGCTGTTGAGCTGTGGAATAAAAAAAAAATCAATTGAATTTACAGTCTATACATACATACGGACATATGTATGTATAACATTTTCGTACCAATAAACCATTTCAACAAATCTTTTTTGACTTTCGGATCCAACACGGAAATCACTTTACAGGCGTCTGCCAGTTGATTTAATCCCAAACGGTGTTTGTTTCCAGCACTTGTTGCTGTACTTGACTTTGTAGAAAATGCCTCTTTGAAATCGTCTGTGATTTGTTTGGCCAGAGTAACTTGAATTTTATCGACATTTTGGGAGAGATTCTAAAAACCACAATTGGTAAGAATTTTTCGCCCATCCTTAACCTTATTACCTTACCTTGATTTCTTCAATATCAGAATACTGCTTGAAATGCTGATTTACTTCAGTAATTGCTTGCAATGGATTAAGTATTTCCCCATACAACCGTTTTTCAATTAACTTATTTAAGCTTTCGATTCCACCCACCAACATATGCAGGTGATTTAACGTGGTTATAGCCGAAGTAAGGTTTCGTTTTGCACAATCCAATTGCTTGATGTCGCGTGTAATCTCCTTAACCATTTCCTCAGTTTTCTCAGCCCGCGTTTTTACATCTATAATATGGGCATACAATGTAGATATTACTTTTTGCGCCTCGGTCAATGCCATTTGTCCATCTTGGCCGGTATTCGTTTGGCCACGTACGACGGCGCGTATATTATCATCAATAAGTGACACTTCGCACTGCATACGCTGTATGGTCTCATCAATGCTCACCAAGGATTGTTCATTAGGAAAGAGCTGATTTATGTAATCGACTGTGTTGAAATCCGGCGAGTCCATGGGATCCTCAGTTTTTAATACCTGTAGAGAAAGCAGAGTCTCAATTGTAAATTAGGTTGCGAGTCGCATTTTCTAAGCATATGTACCTCATCGATTGCATTTTTCACGTCCTTTGTAAAATGGATTCTATTGGTTTCAACTGGCCTGATTGCATTGCCATCATCAGCATTCCCTTCCAACTCAGTTTCATTCATTTTTTGTTTTTTTTTTTTTTTAGTTGAACGACAGGATCTTGGTAGTCCACAAGAGGCAAATCAATTCCAGGCTGTTCCTGTATTCGCCTTTTTGTGGTATATGTATGTCCGTTTCTTAATATTTTGACTTATGAACGCACCTTTTAAATGGCCAATTTCCGGATGGTTTTAAAAATTTGTTCAATTTTTGTAAAAACCGAATCCCAATGAAATAGGGAAAAATTGCATCAACACAAAACGTCATCAAAGGTGACTTAAAAGCTGAAATTAGTCAAGAACGTAAACCTACCGGTACGTAAACCCGAGTCAGCTGACACGATCTGTCTTACCAAAGCGCCATGTAAATGAAAACTCAACACCGCAGAATTTTTCTGTAGTTGTAGCCCGTAGCGCAGAAATCTGCGGAATTTAGATTTTTCCGTGTCAGCTGATTTCTCCTTCTTTAGATGGTTGCCACTTCGTCAGTTTTACAGATGGTAAAAAAGTTATAAGTTCCTATTCAAAATATGTTTAAAATATTTGAAATTTACTATTGAATAAGGTTTTTGTCGAAAACTAAGTAGTTTATATTTAGCTAAAATCTATTATAGCACGAAAAATTGTAGTTGAAAGGGTAAGTTTATGAAAAGGCATTGAAGAGTGGCAACACTGTAGTAAGCAACACTGAGGGCTCCAGTAATCGACAAAATTCTGCGTATACAGACTGCGTTTAAGTATACGTTCTGCGTTCTCGACTAATTTCAGCTAAACAGCTGATTGTCTACTGAAAAATGATGCCAGACCACAAAATTCGTTAATGTATAGTCTGTTCCAATAGCAGTCCGGTTTACAGGATTTAGTCAGAACTTACAGGAAGTCGTTCCTATTGACATAAAACCTGTAAGTGGGAACACATTTGAGAGAGTAACTGAGCAACTGTTCCTAGTCAGAAGTTACAGGATTTAGTCCGGAGTTTCTTTTCCTGTAAGTTCATGAAAAGTGTCAAACGATCAGCTGATTTGCATGTGCAAGCAAAAACTAACAGCGGTGAAAGCAAAGTACCTTATATTTGTAAAAAAAATGGAAGTAAACAACGAAATGTTTGAATATGTAAAGATTTTAATAATTATTTAGTGATATTTCAGCTAAATCAGTGTTGTACAAATGACATGTAAACAAACCGACTGACGTTTTTACAGGAAATAGTGGTTTTTGCGTTCCTATGCACTTCTGCATCTGTTCTCCTTTTACTCTCAATTGATAGAGT